TTTTTGTATTTTTTTTAGTAGAGACGGGGTTTCACCGTGTTAGCCAGGATGGTCTCGGTCTCCTGACCTCATGATCCGCTCGTCTCGGCCTCCCAAAGTGCTGGGATTACAGGCTTGAGCCACTGCGCCCGGCCGCAAAATACACTTTCTAAAAAATCTGAGAGCTGTCTCAGATTTTCAGGATTCACACGTGTAATGTAGGATGTCAATGTTTATAAAACAGACATTATTCTATCTACTATTACAAATATGCTGCCAATTAACCTTAGACTTTCTCAACAAAATAAAAAAATGTTGATGAGACACAAATAATATATTTAAACTTAAATAATGTTGCAAGTCTTAATATGGCTACTTTTCAATTTTTCAATACTATTTTTTACTACTTTAACACTGTAAGAAAAATTACTAATTAAAACATGAATAAAAGTGTTTACAGCGGGGTGCATGTTTCCTCCAGCCTCTGCCCATCCCCAGCTTTCATCCCAACTGTCCTGATGGTGGCTCTAAGCATTGCTCCTTTCTCTGTATCAAGACCTCTCCCCAGAAACAAGCCCAAATCTTACCATATGTTATGGCACGCTGTGATGATGAACAGCGATGAGCAGCCAAAGCCTCAAGGCAGGGAGGCTTTTGTAAAACAAGACTTGTAGAATGTCACATGTGAAAGTAAAGCCCATAGCAAAGCTCCCTCCTCAGCACAGGGGGAGCAGACAGGAAGCTTTTGCCTCACCTTCCTCAATGGCCTGCAGTCACGTCTCCCCAGGTCAGTCTTAAGGTCATCGAAACTCTGGTCTTCAAGGTGGACACGCTACTAGGTGCTCCAAAGCCATGGTGACCCACTCTCGGGTGGGTCCCAAGGAGAACAAAGCTCTGGCTCTAATCCTAACCTTAACCCTGTCCCAAGACTTTGACCCTGAACCTAAACCCTGAGCCCTACCCTAGTCCCTAATTCTGACCCTTACTTTGACCCTGACATTGATGTTGACCCCAACCATGACCCTCAAACCATACTTCTGGCCCTGACTCTGAGCATAATCCCTGTTATTATGTTTACGATCTATCTCTAGTCTTAC